TAGAGTCGCCTAATACCCTAAGAACACATTAGTGGCGTTTCTACGAGTTAGTTCTTGGCGATGGGGAACAATACTTCTCTCTTCTTTCTTATTTCTTCGTCCTATGATAGCACTAGGCCTCTGCCTACATTAGCGATAGTACAGGACCTCTGTCTTCTATCGGGAACGCCTATCATAAGCTTTCTCTAACTCTTCTTCGTGAAGAGCTTTCCTTGTCGTAACAATAACGTTGCAATAAAGATAAAGATCGTAAAGTGTTTTTATATTCGTTAAAGTAATAAGTAGGAAAAGTACTTAGAACAAAGCGTGAAGAACCTATCTTGCTCGGCCACATCGGTCTCCTTATATAGTATCCTTCCCGCCCATAGTCATGTGACCTAAAGTGGTCACATGTGCAAAACCACATCATAATAAACAAGTCATGTGACTAAAGTGATCACATGCTCAAAACCCATGACCTCATAGTGAGGTCATGTACAAAACTCATAAACCAATCATAATACAATAAACAAGTCATATGACTCGACTGAGTCATATGCGCGAAACCCATGACCTCATAACGAGGTCATGTGCAAAACATAAATCATATGCGCAAGGCTTACCCGCAAGGCACACTCACAAGGTATACTCGCCAGGTGCATGTTCCATGACTCATATTTGAGCCAAGTGCGAAACCATCACAAATCCCACACATAACAAATCATATGACCCAAATGAGTCATATGTGTAAAACAATAACATACCTGTGACTCATAACCATGTGTGACGTGAAAGCCTCTTTCATGCCAAGCCATGTTTGTGAAATTAGCTCCCCTCCTCCTAAGCCTCAGTTCCATCAGGCTTTTTCTCCCAGTTTCAATAGTTCCCATCCTGCCGAGCACATGGTCCTTCTCAGCTTGTGCAACTTTTCGTCTGCCATCCTCCATCTGGCCCTTACCGATTCTAGAGTCAGATTTGCCATCTCGATCATGTGTCACTGATTATCGTTCAGCTGTCTTAGCTCCGCGATCATTTTGTCGTTTGTCGAAATTGTGGTCTCGGCTTGGCCAAGTTGTTCTCGGAGTCCCTGGATCTGCCTGTGTAGGCTCCTGATGTCTGGTTCCGTGTCTGCTAAGGAGTTTTAGGCCCCTCCCTCCCTGGACCACGTCCTCGAGACCCATGCCTTCCGGGTATCCTTTCCTTCCAACTCTTTCTTGCCTCCATCCTTCTGCGGGTAAAATCCAGCACATATTTTCTGTACCCTGTGCATCCTGCACCCATTTCTGAAGCATTGTTGCCAATGCTTCAGGACGTGGTCCGGGCGTGGGCCACACTTTGGACATTCCTTCGGGAACTATCCTGAGCCTTCTTTGTCGCCAAAATGTGTTTGGCAACCGCCATCATAGCATACCGTCCATGACATGGCGTTATGCTGTACTTGTTGTTCCCTCACCTTGAGCTCTTTGTCGGTTGGCCCTATGAATGTAGTATTCGGGGCTGGTAGGTGTGATTTGGCATGGGCTATCGCCCCAGCCCTTGTGTTGTTGCAATGGCGTGGGAGCCTTTATCTCACCTTAGTCTTAGTTGAATGTGATTGTCACCTGGGCCGGACTTGCTGTCACGAATGTGGCTTGGCATGGAAAAGGTTTTCACGTAACACATGGTTATGAGTCACAGGTATGTTATTGTTTTGCGCATATAACTCATTCGGGTTATATGATTTGTTATGTGTGGGATTTGTGATGCTTTCGCACATGGCTCAAGTATGAGTCATGGGACGTGCGCCTAGCAAGTATGCCTTGTGAGTGTGCCATGCGGGTAAGCCTTGCGAATATGATTTATGTTTCGCATATGACCTTATTATAAGGTCATGGGTTTCGCGCATATGACTCAGTCGAGTCATATAACTTGTTTTATTGCATTATGATTGGTTTATGAGTTTTGCACATGACCTCGCTATGAGGACATGGGTTTTGAGCATGTGATCACATTGGTCACATGATTAGTTTGTTATGATTTAGTTTCGCACATGTGACCACTTTAGGTCACATGATTAAAGGCGGGAAGAATACTATATAAGGAGGCCGATGCGGCCGAGGAAGATAGGTTCTTCACACTTTGTTCTAAGTACTTTTCCTACTTATTACTTTAACGAATATAAAAACACCGTTACGATCTTTATCTTTATTATAGCGTTATTGTTACGCAGAGGACAGCTCTTTATGAAGAAGAGTTAGAGAAAGCTTACGATAGGCGTTCTCGATAGAAGACAAAGTTCTTGTACAATCGGTAACGTAGGCATAGGCCTATAGCTATCGTTTGACCAAACAAGAAGACGGAAGAAGAGATAAGTATCGCTCCCCGTCGCCAAGAGCTAACTACCGAGAAAGGGATCGTTACACTTGCCTGGGTATCGCTAGTGGAAGGTTGAGATGGCATCTTGTGCGTGTTCAAAGTTGTGTGCGAAATACCAAGTTTTATCGTATTCAGGCCAATATCCTGTCCACTTGGCTCGGTATTGGAGGTGACCGTGGAAGAAGTAGGAGTCGACTATTTCGTTGAGCTCGTATTCTGGTTCTCCATCAAGTTCGATCGGAGGGGGAGGAATAAGTGTTTGTGAGTGAAACTTGTTGTTGTTGTATAATTTGAGGAGTGAGATGTGCAATGTATCGTGTATTCTCATTGAGGAGGGAAGGTCGAGTTTATAAGCTCAGCTGCCCACTCTTTCCAATATCCTGAATGGTCCTATTTTCTTATAGTCCAATTTCCTTGATGGTCGCATCGTATGGATATCGCATGGTATTAGCCATACCATATCTCCCGGTTGTATGTCCGGATCTGGTCTTCGGTACTTATCGTATTGTTTCTTTTGTTGTTGTTGTGCTTGACTCATTTCGTATTATAATGTTTCGTGTAGTTTCCCCATATCGGGTTTGTCTGGTATCACATCATTAATCGTATAATATGTGATCTGACTTTGGGGATGTTGTTCGTAATTTGCGAAGAAGGGTGTTGTGCTGAGTGTTTCTTGCTTTCCATTGTTGTATGCGAATTCG